AATCCCAGAAGGATCTGAGCCTATTATCAATCACTCTATTTGTGGGACCTGTCTCTGCCTTAAGTACATGTGTAATGAGAGCAGCTGAAGAATGATGCATTTTGTCGCATAAGGGACCAGACAAAACTCATCACAATTTAGTATATGATGCTGAGGGACCAGAACTAGCTCGAATAACCTCACCGGAGACAACAGACCAATAGTAATCCAGGTCAATCAATATCTGTTGTTCTCCTTCATCTGGTACGGCAAAGTCTAAGTTACTGAGATGCTCATAATAGCATTTAGAAATATCAATAGATGCTGGGACCACAGATAAGGGAAGTGCTAAGAATCGTAGGGTTATAGACCCCTCCTCCGTTTGTAAACCAATCCTTACTAAATGATATTCTTCCTCTCTCTCTGTAGTTAAACCAAAGGCTGCAATGGACATACTCTTCTTGCTTTTTGCCTTAAGTGCCATTTCTTTTTTTAGGTCTTGTGTAACAAAAGATCTGTGACTGCCACTGTCAAGGATAACTTTGGCTTCCATACAAAGAGCTGGATTGGAGGGATTAAATGCTGTCACTCGAACTGTTTCTAACAAGACTGTGTCATTCTCTTCTGCTTGAGAAGTGGAGCTCAAAGAGGGGCCTCTGGGTTAAGATTAGACACATTCACTTGAAGATTCAATATCTCTTTTAAGTTCTCACTCTTGACAGCCTTGAGACATACTAGGGTGGAGTTTACTTATGCACTCAGTACACTTAGGTGAGGCTCTGCAGTCTTGTACATGATGCCCATTACATAAACAATTAAAGCAATAACCATGACCCTTCAAAATTTGTTTCCTAGGCTCTACTAAAATGACATTCTTGCGTAAACTAGGCTGATGCTTCTCACTTCAATAACAACATTCAGAATGACCACTATCCTTCGTAGTCAAAGTAGTTGCGGTTGCAGATTCTCTCTTAGTTTTAGTATAAACATTCCAGCTCTTGTGAATTATACCTGCTGTCTCACGAGCCTTTATTTCTTCCAATAATGCTGCGAGTATGGGGTTGCATTCCCCTTCTTTACCAGACATCTTAAGACTGATTTAAACTCTGAACTCTTGCGGGAGTTTCTACATTAGGAGGCACTAAGAAGAGCTCCATAAGCACTATGTGCTTTCCTAAGGATGTTAGGCCTCTCACATAAATCTATACTTTGTCATAGATTCTCCTTAAAGTTGAAAGATTCTGATTATCTGTCACAGCCTCCAGATCAGTAAAGGCATCCATATGCCTTGTTATAATCTGTGACTCATCCCCAAACCTCTTCTTGAGTATATCTATCGCTTATTGATAATTGCTAGAAGTTAGCGATAGATCTGCTACAGCCTCCTTCTTGATCCTGTCAATAAGGATCTCAATTAAGTAAACTTATTGATATCCAATTGATCCCATCTGTGGTGTATTGCTGACTCAAATGAGTCCCAAAATGTTTTCCATTTCATATAGTCACCATTAAAAGGAGTTAGAGTCAGCTGTGGTAGCTTGATTCTAATAGCGACAGATTCAAAGGGTGTGTCTCCAACCATTGGAGAAACACCTTTAGGAACACATGAGGACAGGCCAATGGCCTTGTCTACCTAGAAGAGAGTTGACCTCAAGGTATCCCTGACGACTTCTGCACCTTCTATATCTGTTTCTGTTTCAGCTTTGTCCTCTAGGAGGGCTAAGATGCCTTCATCGAGGTCCTTGAGTACAGCTACGTTCTCTGCAAGAGCCACCCTCAGTTGCTCCAGGCTGTGTCTGTCTAAGGGACTAGCACCCAAAGCTGTTTCTAACTCAGTAACCTTTCTTGTTGCTGTGCCTCTGTGTCCTGATCTGACACTCTTCTTATGAGCTAGTTCAGCAACCATCTTGCTTCAGACCACGCCCCAAATAACAAAATGTATGTATACACGTGTCAGTGAAGTATCATTAAAAAAAGAAAAAAAACTATTCTGTATGACTGCTACTGTCAAACCAACTATTTCAACTGACTGAAAATACCAATTCTGTGTAAGTTAGCTATCAAAAGTAAAGGTTGGTCGGTCTCTGCACTCAGCAGTATCGAAAGTGACATGCACGTCAAAGGTTCCCTATCAATTGGCTTGTACTAAACAATGGAATGCTTCCATCCGGTAGTGGAATCTGTATCAGAGGACAGTATTTTTA